TCTTCTCTGATTGTCTTACCCCTGAGGGAACCATTATCCAAATCAAAATTTTTTTTTTTACCATTCTAATGTTTTGTTCCATATTTATTATTCATGAACATAGTTATGCATTACACAACAGGGATACGTTCTGACAAATGTGTCATTGTGCAAACATCATGAAGTGTACTTACACAAACCTAGATGGTATAACCTACTATACATCTAAGCTAGACGGTATAGCCTATTGCTCCTAGGCTACAAACCTGTAGGAAGTTACTGTACTGTATACTGTAGGCAATTGTAACACAATAGTAAATAATCTAAACATAGAAAAGTTACAGTAAAAATACAATATCACAATCTAATGGGACCACCGTCATATATGCAGCTCATCATTGACTGAAATGTCGTTACAGGGCATGTGACTATACACTTCTGAACAGAACACATAATTTCTTCACATATTTTAAGCTCTAGCTATAGAAGTAGTATATTTAGATACCACTTATGGAGATTTTTACGCTAAAAATAGCGTTTCTGAAGTTTCTTTAATCAGGCAATTTTGGAACTATATTTTAGCCACACTGCTGTGACCAGGTTTGCATACATGCAAAACTCTCTGAAGTGCAGACATGAGAGGGCTGCAGCTGACAGGGCCTTCCTTGCTTCTCTCATAGATGCTGTGCAGTGTCTCCGCAAAGAGCTTGTACCAATTTCTCCTCTCCTGGCAGTGTGTGGAGTTCTCCTGACTCCATAATTTCAATTTAAACAGGACACAGCAAAAACACAAACTTACTGATCTGGTTGTCTTGCCAAACTCTACAATTATTCCAGGACATATCTTGAGGCATAAAGTGGAACCATTATGTTTGCATTAAAAATGCACATGTGAAATATGCCGTTTACATGGAAATAGAGAAAAATGAAACATTCTAACATTACAGCATAGAATATTTCATCAGCAGATATTAATAAAGTTGGGAAAGCCATTATTGCACAAATCTAAAAAAATGAGTGCTCTCATCTTGGAATTGGTTGGGATATTCACTAGTAAGGAGATTTTAACTTTCAACTAGACAGCAAATACTTAATATGTTAATTGGTCATACTCTTTGACAAAGATAATCATTTGTAGGAATGTATCCTTTAGATACATCCTGGGAGAACTCTGCCATCATCAATAATGTTTCCCTACTGCTCAGGGCAGAGCTGACCATTTCCCTTGGTGCCTTGAGGATCCCTGACCCTGCTTCATCCATCCTGCCATCCAAACAAGAAAATCTCTTTCAAGGCTGGATGCACAGCCTCAATGAATCATCCATGGATCCACCTCAGGTGTTGATATACACCAGTGCTCATGTTCTTACTCCTGGAGGGATTTGTAGACCTCTGACTTCTTCCTTATCTGGAAGAAAACTTCCTTCCTATTCCCTTTCTGTGTCCTCAAAGGCCCTTCCCTCCCTACCAGGTGCAAGTAGGCCGACCCTTTCTTTAAGCTTAGATTTTCACAGAGGATGGAAGAAATAATGGCTTCAGACAGCTTCTGCTTCCATCCCTGCCATAAACCTCCCCTCAGGCAAGGGGAAGGGGGACAAAGCCTGGCTCCCTTCTGTAGGGAGGGTAAACATGGGAAAACAGAAATTAACCTCACAGCGGTACATGTCTTGATACATTTGCTGAAGTGCTTTCACCAGCAACTCAAGGTACCCAAGCTGGCAGGTTCTATCCCTGACTTTGGCAGTGGGTGTGGTGAGAAACCTCTTTGCCATCCAGCTCTATGGTTAGGAGTACTTGCTTTGTAGTCACTTACATTCATGAAGAAAGGATAGTGATACCTCACTAGCAGGGCTGTCAAGATTAAATCCAACTATGAAGGTGAAGAACCTGGAACTGGGCACCTCTAAACAATCTGCTCCATAAATGGTAGCTGTCTTTCCTCCCTAGAGCAGGAACTCATGTGACAAATTTACCTGCCTTTTCAGCCAAGACCCCTTAACCAGCATGCACATCAGAGTCACTTTGATGAGCCTTTTCTAAACCCTCAGCTGAAACTCCCTCGCTGGTGGAAATAGGACTTCTGCACAAAGTCCATTCAAGTTATTAAGATGTAATAATACTGGCCTCAGAAAACGGACACATTGGTGTGGCACCAATAGGGTATATGAGTCTGTTTCTTCTTTATTTCACCAACACTAGTTATTAACAGCTTTTGTCTTGCCAACCTGAACTGCTCGTTTTCTCCATACCTGCACCATTGGAAGTGTCATTCAGACTGTCGGTAAACTTACATATCCAGAGATTCCTCTCCTAGGGTTGCCAGATTTAGCGAATAAAAATACAGAATTCCCAGTTGCATTCAGATAAATGAAATAATATTGCATGCCACACCCAGAGAAACAGAACCAGTAGGGCATGTGTGTGTGTTTGCGATAGAGAGAGATTCATTTTAAGGAACTGTTTCACATGATTACTGGAGGCTAAAAGTCCAATCTCTGTATGGTAGGCTTGCAGACTGGAGAATAAGGCACATCCAATGTTGCAATTCAATTCTGAAGGCTATCTGTTAGTAGTATTCCCTTTTGCTCAGGGATGTCAGATTTTCTCTCTATTCAGGTCTCCAGATGATTGGATGAGGACCACCCACATTATAGAGGGCAGTCTGCTTTATTCAAAGTCCACGAATTTAAATGTTAATCTCATCCAAAAACATCCTTACAGAAACACTCAGAATAATGATGATGAGATATATGGGTACCATGGCCCAGTCAAGTTGATGCATGAAATTAACCATCATACTTACATTAAAAATTATTCATTTTTATCTGGAATTTAGATTGAACTGGATGTCCTCTATTTTATCTGGTTACCCTAAACATGGGGACTCTGTGTTGAACCAAGGTGCTCCAGGAAGCAACCCCAGCTGAGCTGCAGGTGGCATCAGCACCAATTGTCCTTCATGTGAGTAAAGTCTCTTGGATGTCCCAGTGGAGTGTAGCCTCACAGCCCCATGAAACAGACACCACATGCAGCAGAAAACACATTGCTGAGCTCAGTCAACACTCAGATTTCTGAAAGATAATAAATGGTTTGTTTTGGGGTGTTTGTTAGGTAGAAATGGTTATCTAAAACATGGTTGGGGTGAACTTTTCACCTTTTTCTGTACTTTGTTATCATTGGAGGTCAAAGGGATTCTCTTATCCTTGAAGGCTTGGTGGGACATTGCTATATTAATAATTTTGAGTATAGTTTCTGTGTTTGTTTATGTGTGTGTACAAATTTCTGAATATTTAATCAATTCCTTCTTGAAGGAATTTTCAATGGAAGCTATCACAATATATGATTTTCAACCTACTCTTTGAATTTAGAACCTAATTCCATGAGATGAGCCTCTATTGCAATCATATGAACTAAGCTACTGACAGAGTGTTGTCACAAATGACTCCGCAGGGAAAGCCTCAGAGATTGGCTTTGGCTTAGTGAGTATTCATTCTGAACAAGGGTTATTTATGTACTTTGAGAAGTGTTTCTGAAAGAAGAGATCTTGAAACTCTTTCTCCTGCTACAGGGAATTGCCTTGCAAGGAAGCTACTTTCCATGAGAACACATAGACAGGACTCCTGCACCAGACAGCAGCTTGATATGCATTGCAGTCCTTGGCCTTTATGATTTTCCCATCATGGCACTACTTAGTGGATAAATCTTTTTCAATTTTGTGGATCCTTCATAGGAAGCCCACATGCCAACAAATCTAAGTCATCTTCTCTAATATCTTCTTTATAAGGAATAAAGTCCATGTATTTTTCTTCTTTAATCTATTTATTACTTGATTTCAAGCTTAGACTTGAAGCAGTGAGGTAAATTGCTTAAACAATCCAAGCAATTTGGAGAAAGACAATAGAAATAGTTGAGCCAGTGTGGCACAGAAAGAGGAGTAGCACTGTGGGCCTATTGTAAGATCCACCTCTGGACTGGGCTCAGTGGCTCATGCCTGTAATCCCAGCACTTTGGGAGGCTGAGGCAGGTGGATCACCTGAGGTCAGGAGTTCAAGACCAGCCTGACCAATATGGAGAAACCCCGTCTCTACTAAATATACAAAATTAGCCGGGTGTGGTGGCGCATGCCTGTAATCCCAGCTACTCGGGAGGCTGAGACAGAAGAATTGCTTGAACCTGGGAGGCAGAGGTTGCAATGAGCCAGGATTGCACCATTGCACTCCATCCTGGGCAACTAGAGTGAAACAGTGAAACTCCATCTCAAAAAAAAAAAAAAAAAAAAAGATCCACCTCTGAGGGCAGGGAAGAACAGGTGCCCCTGAAGAGCAGTTTACTACCAAGAATTTTGAAGGGAGGCAGCCTGGGTAGTGCAGCCCCTTTTTCTTCTTCCCAGCTCACCAATTAGATAAGTTCCTCCTGTGACAGAACAGGATTGAGTGTATAGAGAGTCTAGAAATGTTGTGGTCATGAATGTCCCTCCACATGCAGGAATGAAGGATAATAATTTTCTCAAGACAAACCATTGTATGGTTGAATTGATTAGGTTCCTGTCTACTAAATGACTGTATTATTTTAGGCTTACATTACTGAAATAACTCTGAGATATCTTAAATGACATATTTTGTTGTTCCTAGATCTTTTAGTCACATGATTATAGATAGTCTTAGTTTTCTGCCACAGATGGATAACTGCTTTAGTATGGTGTGTGAATTGTACATGCTCCTCCTCAGTGAGTTAGCTCATCTCCAAGAGCTCCAGGTCTCTGTGCACTGGTGATATTCCTCTACTGTCACTTTTAAACAAAACTATTGACAACTGGGACTTTGTTCCATCAAACCTGGCAGAATTCTATCAATTGGCTCCGTCCCAGCCTAGTTCCTCTAATTATTATAGCTACCCAGGAAGCCGCCTGAAGAGTGAAGGCATTTTCTCTTAGTGAAAGGCAAGGAGTCAAAAGGCCACTCTACGGCATTTCCGGTGTGCTGGACCAGCCTGCGTATCACGGTTGCCATAGAAACCTGACGTCATTGCGGCGACCGTGGAGACTTTTAAAATAGAGGCCAACATGACCGGGCAAGAAGAGCAGGGTCCTTCCTTCAGGTGTTTGGGACTCAACTGAGGGTGTGGGTGCCCCGCGGTGGGGACTGAACCTTCCTGGGGTGTGGAGAGACGAAGGAGCCCAGATCCAAGTTCCTTCGTTCCCGCTTTGGCACAAGTTGCCCGGGCGGTCTCATGAGAGAGAGCTGGGACCCTCCTGGCCCCAGTGAGTGTGGTGTCTTGCTCCGGGTGTCCTGGGGCAACTTTCTATATAAAGGCGGGACGTGGGGAGGATGAGACAGGTAAGGACTCTCTGAGCCCAGCCTCTCCTTCTGTAAAATGAGAATGAGAATGCTCACCCACAGGATTGCTGCAACCTGCAGTGATAATACAGGTGCAAGATGATAGATAGCCCTGTGGTTGTTATGGGACGATGGGTGCTTTATGGATTCAGTCTATTTCTTATTCTTTTATTTTTTTAAAACAACACAAATTTATTATTTTACAGTTTTGGAGTTCAAAAGTCCAAAGTGGGTCTCACTGGGCTAAAATCAAGGTGTCAGCAGGGCTATGTTCCTTCTGGAAGTTCTAGTGTAGAATGAATTTTCGTTTTTTTCCAGCTTCTAGAAGCTGCTTGCATTCCTTGGCTCATGCCTTCACATTACTCTGACCTCCATATTGTGGTCACATCTACTTCTCCGATTTTATTGCCTCCCTGTTTCCCTCATAAAGACCCTTGTAATTATATCAGGCCCACCCAGATGATTCAGAATAACCTCACCATTTTAAGATCATTAACTTAATCACACCTGTAAAGTTCATTTTACCATGTAATGTAACATATTCACTTGTTCCAGAGACTAGGACATGGATTTCTTTGGGGTAGAGGAGTGTTATTCAGCCTACAGCACAGTTGTATATTAGATACTGTGATGGATAGCCTCAATTTGTCTCTTCAAAGCTACACTCCACCCCTCACCACCCTACTCTGTGCTCCACAGGTCTGATCCTTATAGACTACACCAACTCAGATCCCTTCTCCTTAGGCTTCCAGTTGGGTTTGGCCAATGGGAGATACTAGCAAGTGAGTGAGGGAAAGATGGGGTATGTGTCCCCACTGCCAGATTCCTTGGTGTTGGGCTACAGGTTGGTAGTAGTTGTGTTCCTCTACCAAGGGCTCAGGCCATTTCCCCATTCTTTTTTAAAGTTGTTATTAGGTGATAAATGGAAAGGAGAAGAAAAGGCCCTGGTGAGAAACTCATTGTACCTTCTGGTTGTTATGATCACTAACCAATTGTATCAGTGTCATTGGTCACTAACTCAGTGCCCAGCATGGTTGCAGGCACAGAGTCACTTCAATAAAGCATAGTGATTGCTGGAGCCTGTCTCTCCCCAGGAAGCACCTCATGGGGGCAACTAAACTTATATCAGGTGTCTGAAGGAGGTGGGTTCTGATGATCTGGGTCATGATGGCTGCTGAAGCTTTTACTTCAGACTTGAAGGACAGCAGTCCTCAGGAGATCTCTAGCACTTCCATCCTTGGTGGGATATGATTCCTGGCTCAAGTGAGTTCATAGATCTGAACAGAAGTGTGTTATAGAATAGTAAGTGTGTAGTTCACAAAGTAGTCTAAAAGTAGAGCAGGCACTTTGATCCATCATTGGAAAAGAGGCTCAACAGGTGGACTCCATTGCGTGCATCAGCAGCTACATGCTTTGTAGTATCCCTTGAGGCCCATTTGGAGATACCTTTCTTAAAGCAATGAATTGTTCAGTTGGGGAAGGAACTTGATATTTAACATGCATTTGCAATAAATTTACACATAGTTTTCTGACTGTATAAATAATAATTCATTATTCCCATGTATCTCGGATGGAAGTTGAAATATGCAGTTGGTTAGAAGATCTTCATAGCAATTTGAGATTGTAATATGCATGCTTTCATGGTTAGCGTGTTTTCATCCATTCTGCAATGTAATTTTTTAAGAGGCCAGGAATTTACTAAGAGTTAAATGTCAGGTACAAGAATTTAGTATTTTTGAAAATAACGATTACTTGATAGTTTGCCCAATTATAATGATACCTAGTCACATCTCCTAAAATAACCAGATAAGCCTGAGTATTATTATTATTATTTCCAAGGAAATAACATTTTCAGTTCTATATTACCTGGGCTCCCTACCCCTCCTACTGCGCTGTCTCCAGGCAAACACATTTCTGTCACTATAGATTTGGTTTTATGTCCTAGAAATGTATTTAAGTGGAGTCATAGAGAGGTTTTTTCTAAGAGGAATCTGACTTTTTTCATTCACCCTATTTAATTTTAGATTTATCCATTTCTTTGCATATAGCAGTAGTTTATTCTTTGTTATTGCTTAATAGCATTCCAGTATATGGCTATACCACTATTTGTTTTATCCATCCACCTGTTGATGGATATTTGGGTTGTTTCTAATTTGGGACACTTATAAATAAAGCTGATATGAACATATGTGAATAAGTCTTTTCATAGACATATGCGTTATTTCTTTGGGGTATATATTTAGGAGTGCAATTGCTGGATATATGGTAGATATAAGATTAACATTGTAAGAAACTACCAAGCTGTTTCCAAAGTGGTTGTATCACTGCTGTCACCAGCAGTGTATGAGAGTTTTATCCTCCCCAACCTTGCCAGTGCTTGATATGGTCAGTCTCTTTAATTTTAGCCATTCTTACAAGAATATAGTAGTATTTCATTGCAGTTTTCATTTACATTTCCCTAATGATTAATGTTGTTGAGTATCTTTTCATGTGTTTACTTGACATTTGTATATGTATATATCTTCTTTAATGGAATGTATATTCAAATATTTTGCCCATTTGTTTACTTAAGTGTCTGTTTTCCTCTGACTTTTGTGATATTTTCTGTATTCTGGTACAAGTCCTTCATCAGATATATGATTTTAAACACTTTCTCCTAGTCAGGGACTTGTATTTTCATTTTCTTACCCATATATTTGGAAAAGCAAAAGTTTTTGACTTTGAGGAAGTCCAATTTATTGATTTGTTCACTTACGGATTGTGGTTTTCATGTCATATATTAATGTAATAGCATGACTACAGAGAGAATACTTGGAATTGTAATAGCAAGCAGGGATAAGCCCACATTTCCACTAGGTGACAACTTCACTGTCATTCTGTGTGTGGGAGAGGGTTGTGGGATGGAGCTGAGGAAGACGAAAAGCATCATTGCACAGCTTCCAAGTAACTGAATGGGAATAGGGAAGACATCATCACCCCATCCCCTGTTTTCGTGTGCTTTTTCATCCTCTTACCTTCCTCCTCATTTCATATGCTTTCTTGTCCTCTTACTCTCCCATCTAGTTAACGTGAGACAAGGGTGTTGACTGTGCAGCGCAGAACCAGTAGTTTGTAGAGAAGAACCAGGTGTGATGTTGAATCTGCTAGACAGGCTACTGAAGCAAAAGTCAAGAGATCCAGATCCCATCATGGGGACACTTTAGGTAAGTCACTACCCTTCCTTCAGATTAGTCTATACAACAGGATAAAAATACCCAATTCTCCTGACCACCAGGAATACTCTGGAGTTTAAGTATGATCTCATGTGGGAAAGCAGTCTTCCCTCCCCCTTAGAAAAGTAGTATACATTCGAGTAATTACATTAATAGGGATATTCCAGATGTCCCAGAACTCTGCATGGTAGGCATTAAATTAATGGTGCTCAAGTGTGAACTTTTTATTTTTATTTTTTTTGAGATGGAGTCTCGCTCTGTCACCCAGGCTGGAAGTGCAGTGGCATGATCTTGGCTCACTGCAATCTCTGCCGCCTAGTTCAAGCGATTCTCCTGCCTCAGTATCCTGAGTGGCTGGGATTACAGGTGCCCACCACCACGCCCAGCTAATTTTTGAATTTTTGGTAGAGACAGGGTTTCACCATGTTGGCCAGGCTGGTATTGAACTCCTGATCTCAAGTGATCTGCCCACCTTGGCCTCCCAAAGTGCTGGGATTACAGCCGTGAGCCACTGCGCCTGGCCAAATATAAACTGTTGAGGTCAGGATTTTTCCCAGTGTGGTCTATGGATCACTTCATCAAATTCATCAGGTAGTGCTCGTTAAAATAGCAGATACTTGGACCTACCCTAGATCTGCTGAATCAAAACCAGGGAGGTGGGATGGGAGGTGTTTCCATTTAAAGTAATATCTTCAGTTGGTCTGGTACTCATCTTAGTGCATTCTGAGCTACTATAACAAAATATCATAACTCGGTAGCTGATAAACAACAGAAATTTATTTCTCACAGTTCTGGAGGCTGAGAAATCCAAAATTAAGGCACTGGCAGCTTCAGTGTTTTTGTGAGGGCCCACTTCCTTCATAGATGGTTGACCTCTTACTATAACCTCCCTTGGTGGAAAGGGCTAGCTAGCTCTCTGGAATCTCTTTGATAACAGCACTAATCTGTTAGTGACAGAGGACAGAGCCCTAATGACCTAAAAACCTCTCATAGCCTCACCTTCTAATACCATCACCTTGGTATTAGGTTTTAACATGAATTTGAGGCGGGGGGTCACAGATATTCAGACTATAACATCATCCATGTTTGAAAAGCTCTGCTATGGATGTACAAGACCTTCTTACAGTTTTGAATCATTTAATATCTAATTTCATTGATAGTTGCTCCTGCTACTTAGCTTAAATGTCTGTCTTCTTTGGTCTCTTAAATAGGCAACAATTCCTTCAATTAAGTAATATTATTTAAGTGATTATATGTGAAGGACTAAAGTAGGCACTAAGGAAACAGCACAGAGAATAAGATAGGCAGGGTCCCTGGAGCTGTCATTCTAGTTTGGGAAAAGTGGCAGTAAGCAGGTAAACAATAAGCCATGTGATTTCATATGAGGATATGTGTTTTGAAGAAAATAAACAGGTGGAGTAGAAAATGACTGAGACAGGGATTATTATAGATGGGGTTGTCAGTGAGACTCCTTCTCAGGAAGTGACACTTGAGCTGAGTCCTGAACGATAAGAAGAAGCCAGGCATGGAGAGACCATTTTGTCAGTGTCCCTGTGCTGTGTGTGGACACCACTGATCCAGGAGCAGAGGACAAGCTGGAGTGACTGGAGCCTGGCACATAAGTGCAGACAGGTGGAAGATGAGATCGAAAGGGTAGACAGGAACCACATGGTTTCAGTCCTGTAAGGAGTTTGAGTTTTATTCTGAGTGTGGAGGGTTAGAGTATGGGAGTGATGTGATCTGATTCTTGATGTGGAAGCTGACTCTGGCTGCTGTGTGGAGAATGGTCTGGAGAGGGACAAGATAGGGAGTAGGGATAACCATTAGGAAAATATTGCAGAAGTCCAGGAGAGGGATGTGTGTGGATGAGGCCAGGGCTGCAGCTATGTGCAAAGGGAAGGATGGACCTGGGCAGGGCGTGTTTGCAGGTCAGGCAGGTAGGACCTGCAGTGGCTGTGTGCCTGCGGTGTGTAGATAATGGAGAGTTAGGGAGAACCCCTGGGCTTTTTGTTTGGCCATGCAGAGAAATGGTGGTGCTGTTTTCTGAGATCAGACCTTCCAAGTGCTTTGAATGTTCTCAAGTTATTTAGTTAGTTTTACTATAACTAATATTAGTTATAATAAAAATTAGTGATTTTAAAAATATGTTGGTTGATGAATATGATTCAGCTGTAAGACTATTAAGCTTTTTTTCCCCAGCATCTCTGTAGTAGAATTTTTTAAATGATGTGATTACTCGCCATTTATCTTTTTAAAAACTCAAACACAAGTTAATAAATATATTTTTAAATGTTTTGTCTTCTACATTATGTACTGTATAATGCCAGTTTTATGGATGTAACAAATGAGTGACTATAAGGTGAAGTAAAAGTATTTAAAGTCACTCAGTCTTTACGTGGCAGAACTAGGGCTTGTCTCTATTCTGTCTCCAGAGCCCACACTACTGACCAATACACCTAGGAAGAAGAAAAAGCATTTGTGAGGTATGGTGATTACCCAAGGTCACCATCTAGAGTTAATGGTTTAGATCTGTCACTGTGTCCCAAGTATGTGTCCTGTCTTACTCCCAGCTCCCTGTTCATTAGACTTTGCATTAGCCTTGTTACTACGTGTAGTGGATCACTTTTCAAGGGCTTAGGATGGATGTTTTCCTGAGGTTAACCTGCAGGTAACATAAGAGTACACTCCATACCTTCAAATGAAAAGAAATGGCGTGTTGATTTTCTTATCCAGCCCCAAACTATACTGAAAGAATACAGGAAAATTTCTTAAGTCATACAAAATGTGCTTTTTTTTCTGTCTGGCTCCTTCAGCATCTTACCATGAATTTTACATTTATTATTGTCTATAGTTGTAGATCATTCATTCTTGTTAATGTGTAGTATTATGTTGTGTGGATATTTTGCAATAAATGTATCTATTATGGGGATATGCCTATTTTTCAGTGTTTGTCTTATTATGAATAACAGTGCTATGAATGTCTTCTACATCTCTTTTTTTAACTGTTATTTTAGGTTCAGGGGCACATGTACAGTTTTGTTATATAAGTAAACTTGTGTCACAGGGGATTGTTGTACAGATTATTTCGTGACTCACGTAATAAGCCTAGTACCCATTAGTTATTTTTTCTAATCATCTCCCTCCTCCTACCCTCCACCCTCAGGTAGGTCTCAGTGTCTGTCGTACCCCTCTTTGTGCCTATGTGTTCTCACCATTTAGCTCCTACTTATAAGTGAGAATACGTGGATTTGGTTTTCTGTTCCTGCATAGTATGCGAAGGATAGTGGCCTCCAGCTCCATCCATGTTGCTTCAAAGGACATGATTTCATTCTTTTTTCTGGCTGCATACTATTCTATGGTGTATATATACCACATTTTCCTTATCCAGTCTACCATCAATGGGCATTTCTGTTGATTCCATGTCTTGGCTATTGTGAATACTGCTGCAATTAGCATGTGTCTTTATGACAGAACAATTTATATTCCTTTGGGTGTATACCCAGTAATGGAATTGCTGGGTTGAATGGCAGTTCTGTTTTCTGCTCTTTGAGGAATTATCACACTGCTTTCCACAACGGTTGAATGAATTTACCCACCCACCAATGGTGTATAAGCATTCTCTTTTCTCTGCAACCTTGCCAGCATCTGTTATTTTGTGATTTTTAATAATAGCCATCTGACTGTGTGAGATGGTATCTCATTGTGGTTTTGATTTGCATTTCTCTAATGATCAGTAATGTTGAGCTTTTATTCGTATGCTTATTGGCCACATGTATGTCTTCTTTTGAAAACTCTTCATTTCCTTTGCCCACTTTTTAATGGAGTTGTTTGTTTTTTTTCTTGTAAATTTGTTTAAGTTCCTTATAGATGCTGCATATTAGACTTATGTCAGATGCATAGTTGGCAGATATTTTCTCCCATTCTGTAGGTTGTCTGTTTACTCTGTTGATAGTCTTTTTTGCTGTACAGAAGCTCTTTAGTTTAATTAGATTCCATCTGTCAACTTTTGCTTTTATTGCAGTTGTTTTGATGTCTCTGTCATGAAATGTTTGCCCCTTCCTATGTCCAGATGGTATCACCTAGGTTGTCTTCTAGGGTTTCTATAGTGTTGGGTTTTACATTTAAGTCTTTAATCCATCTTGAGTTTATTTTTGTATATAGTGTAAGGAAGGGGTCCAGTTTCAATCTTCCGCATAAGGGCATCCCAGCACCACTTATTGAATAGGGAGTCCCTTTGCTTGTTTTTGTCAAGTTTCTCAAAGATCATATGGTTGTAGGTGTGCAACCTTATTTCTGAGCTCTCTATTCTGTTCCATTAGTCTATATGTCTGTTTTTGTACTACTAATGTGCTGTTTTGGTTACTGTAGCCCTGTAGTATAGTTTGAAGTTGGGGAGTGTGATGCCTCTTGCTTTATTCTTTTTGCTTAGGATTTCCTTGGCTATTTGGGCTCTTTCGGGTTTCACATGAATTTTAAAGTAGTGTTTTCTAGTTCTGTGAAGAATGTCATTGGTAGTTTGATAAGAATAGCATTGAACTTGTCCATTGCTTTGGGCAATATGGCCATTTTCATGATATTAATTTTTCTTGTCCATGAGCATGGAATGTTTTTCCATTTGTTTGTCATCTCTGGTTTCTTTGAGCAATGTTTTGTAATTCCCATTGTAGAGATTTTTTTTTTTTTTTTTTACCTCCCTGGTTAGCCATATTCCTAGGTATTTTATTCTTTTTGTGGCAATTGTGAATGGGATTGTATCCTCATTTGGCTCTCGGCTTGGTTGTTGTTGGTGTATAGGAATGCTAGCGACTTTTTTTTTGGACGGAGTCTCGCTGTCACCCAGCCTGGAGTGCAGTGGCATCATCTTGGCTCACTGCAACCTCCACCTCCTGGGTTCAAGTGATTCTCCTGCTTCAGCCTCCCAAGTAGCTGGGATCACAGGCACACGCCACCACGCCTGGCTAATTTTTGTATTTTTAGTAGAGATGGGGTTTTACTATGTTGGCCAGGCTGGTCTCGAACTCCTGATCTCAAGTCATCCGCTTGCCTCGGCCTCCTAAAGTGCTGGGATTATAGGTGTGAGCCACTGCGCCCAGCCTGCGATTTTTATACATTGATTTTGGGTATTGCGTCTTTGCCAACGTTTTTTATCAGCTTAAGGAGCTTTTGGGCCAAGACTATGGGGTTTTCTAGATATAGGATCATGTCATCTGCAAACACTTTGTAGCATGATGGCAGTGGGATCCGTCCTTGTTCACATATGCCAGTAGCAGCTGCAGCTGCAGTGTGGTAGGGTGCATACTGCTTGGCTGCAACAGGGTGCTAGTGGATTCCAGGGTGTCAGCCTTCATGCATGCATTTGCAGCAGCAACTGGCATTTACAGCACGGCTCAGGGGGATGGGGCCCCAGCCAGTAACTGTGCGCTCCTTCATGCTGGTGATGTTGTTTGTACTCTCTGTACAAGTTCCCGTGGGCGGCAGTGGCCACTCAGGTCAGGTGTGGGTCTGCTTTTCTCCATGCCTAGTTTTATGCTAACAGCAGTTTTGGTGCTGGCAGGGAGGAGGCTAGCGGGCTCCGTGCCTGCCAATGCTCCGACAACAATGGCGGTGTGGCAGAAGGAGGGAGGCAGGGGGAGAGGCAGGGCATACTTAGCCAGCAGCAGTGGCATTGCAGAGTGCACATGCACACATGTACTGGTGAGGGAGGGAAGGCTGCATCTGCTGGTGCACACACACAACAGCAAAGCAATGTAGAGGGTGGCTGTGGACGAGTGTGCAGGCAAAGCTGCATGGGGGAGGCTGCAGTTGGGGGAGGGTGCAGGTGGGCTGGAGCGAGTCCACTGGGGCTGCTCTTCTCTGCTGGAGCACTCTGCTAGTCAGGAGCAGTCTCCTAGCGCAGGGGCTATGATATGGGCCCGCAGGAGATACCCGGGGGCTGCACTGCAAGCAAGCATGACCAGGCTGGGGCCCCAGGAGAGGCCAATAGACTGAGGGGTGTTCAGGTCAGACCAGCTGTGTCTTATGGGCATGATTCCCTGCAGCGTTCAGGTCCGACAGTTCCCCTAAGGCTAAAGTCTTCTATAGGAGTGAGTCAAGCCTAGGGAGATGGGCGACAATGACCATGCTCCACTACAGATGCTCCTGTACCAAACTCTCTGGGCTCCACTCCAGCTGGAGTTCTGCCCCTGCCAGTTCTCTAAGTAGCTCTCACTGCCAATTCAACTGTCCATGGTGGTCAAGGAGTGTTCTTCTGCAGGGATTCCAGAGGCCCGTGGCGAGAGTGGGTTGCTCCTTGCCTGTTCAACCCCTTCCCCAGGAGTTACTGGGGACCAGAAATGACCTGGTGTATGGTAGCCCTGAGCAGTGTTCCCAGCTTCCTCCCACTTCCACCCAGTATCTGTATCTCCCTTCTGTCTGCTCTCAATGCCTTCCCTCAAGACCTGCTAGGAGTGTGCTAGTCTTCCTGATGCCCTGTCCCTTTGTGGGAGACATTCCTCCTGGCTGTATCTAGTCGGCCATCTTGCGCCCTTTTTTATTTCTCTGCGTATCTTTGAATGGGCATTTATTTTCATTTTTCATGTGCATGTACCTAAGAATAGAATTTCTGAGTCATAGGGTATGTGTATGTTCAGCTCAGCATATACAGCTAAGCAATTTTCAAATTGGTTATTCTACTTTATATTCGTATCAGCAGTATCATAGTTCCACTGCTCTACGTCCTCACTGACACTTGGTATACCTTGGTAGCTTTTGTCATTATGATGGATGTGTGATAGTATATAGTATCTCATTTTTCTGTTTTAATTTCTGTTTGATTTAATTTTCTCTCAAGTTTTAAGTTTTTTTAATATAGACAAGATGCTTTCTCTCTCTTTTTTTAACTTTCCAATTTTTTTGCTTAAGGTGCTGGAGTTTACATTCTCAGTTTTGCTGATTGTATCCCTATTGTGTTGTTCATGTTACTCAGTCTCCTCTTCTTTCCTTTAAATTGGTAATTAGAGTTAAAGGCTTGACCTATTCAGATGTTTTGACAAGAGTGTCTTACATGTGGCATTATGTACAGTCATGTGTCACTTAACCACAGAGATATATTCTGAGAAATGCATCATTAAGAGATTTTGTTTGAACAAAATCTGTGTGAACATCACAGAGTGCACTTACACAAACCTAGATGGTGTAGCCTACCACCTACTTAGGCTATACAGCCTATTGCTCCTAGGCTAAAAATTCATACAGCATGTTACTGTACTGAATAATCTAGGGAACTGTAGCACAAAGGTCAGTATTTGTGTATCTAAGCATATCTAAACATAGAAAAAATACAGTAAAATATGATATAAAAGATTAAAAATGTACATATCTATACATGTGTATTGGTCACTTGCAAGACTTGAAGTTGCTCTAGGTGAGTCAGTGAGTGAGTGGTGAGTGAATGTGAAGGCTTAGGACATTACTGTATATTACTGTAGATTTTACAAACACTGTACAATTAGGCTACATTATATTTGTAAAATAGTATTTTTTTCTTCAATAATAAATTAACCTCAGCTTACTGTAACTTTTTAACTTTATAAACTTTTAACATTTTTAAACTTTTTTACTTTTGTAATAACACAACTAAAAGCACACATTGTACAGCTATGCAAAAATATTTTCTTTCTTTATATCCTTATTCTGTTACCTTTCTTTTACTGTTATGCCCAGACCGTTTGTTCCCCAAAGAAGACCACCAGAGTCCAGAGTCAAAGCCAAGCGGCAAGGATCTTTACTACAAGTTCGAACTTGGTCCCTCCATTCCACAGCATACAGGAGGGCCTCGAACAATGCGAGTGCTTGCTTTTTATAGCCCGATGTAAACAGGATATGTAAAGTTACAGGGAACAAGGTAATTCTCTCGGTTACAGCATTACAATTGGTTAACATTATACATTTAGCATTCCTTATCGGAGATCTCCCAGGTGATGTTTTTCTGAAATTTGAAAGAAATATGGAGGAATGTGTTTGTGCTGGACTCAGGAAGTTGGGAGATATATGGGGGATGTGCGTCATTCCTTTCATTACTTATTTATTTATATTTACTTTTTAAACTTTTCTGTTAAAAACTAAGACACACACACACACACACACACATTAGTCAAGGCCTATACAGGGTCAGGATCATCACTATCACTGTCTTCTACCATCATATCTTGTCCCACTGGAAGGTCTTAAGGGACAATAACACACATAAAGCTGTCATCTCCTATGATAACAATACCTTCTTCTGGAATACCTTTTGAAGGACCTGCATGAGGCTGTTTTATAGTTAACTTTTTTTAATAGGTAGAAGGAGTACATTCTAAAATAATAAAAGGTATAGTAAATACATAAACCAGTAACAGTCATTTATTATCATTAATAAGTATTATGTACTGTACATAATTGCATGTGCTATATTTTTATACAACTGGCAGTGCAGTAGGTTTGCTTACACCAGCATCAACATATTCTTCACAAACATGTTTGTGAAGAATATGTTGAGATATGACAGGACAGCTATGTGAGTAGGTGATAGGAAGTTTTTGGCTCCATTATATCTTATGGGACTACTGTTACATATGTGTCCTGGAGTTGACCAAAACATTGTTATACAGCACATGACTGTCCTTTTTATAGCCTTACACGTATCTTAGTCACTTCAGGCTGCTGTAACAAGTTACCATACACTGATGGGTTAAACAGTGTATTAGTCCATACTCACATTGCTATAAAAAACTACCTGAGACTAGATAATTTATAAAGAAAAGAGGTTTAATTAACTCACAGTCCTGCAGGCTATACAGGAGGGGCATGGCTGGGAAACTCAGGAAACTTACAATCATGGCAGAAGGCGAAGGGGAAGCAGGCACATCTTACATGGTCAAAGAAGGAGGAAGAGAGTGAAGGGGGAAGTGCTACATACTTTTATTCAACCAGATCTTGTGAGAACTCATTCCCTATCATGTGAACAACAAGGGTGAAGTATGCCCCCATGATCCAATCACCTCCCACCAGGCCCCTCTTCCAATATTGGGGATTACAATTCAACATGATATTTGGGTAGGGACACAAATCCAAACCATATCAAACAACAAGTATGTATTTCTCATGGGTCTGGAGCCTGCCAAGTCTGAGATCAGTGTGCCAGCATGGTTGGATTCAGGATACGGGTCCTCTGCCTAGTCCTCACATGGCCTTTCCTTGGTGTGTGCATGTGGAAAGGAAACAAGCTCTCATGTCTTTTATTACAAGGGCACTAATCTCATCCTGAGAGCTGTGTCCTCATGACCTAATTCCTTTCAAAGGCCCCATCTCCAAATACCATCACATTGGAGACTAGGCTTTTAACACATGAACTGGGGTGGCAGTGGGGGTGGGGGGACACAAACATTTAGGTAATAGCACAGCAGGAGCCTCATCATGTCTGTTTATCTCCTCTACTGTGAAGTTCAGGTTGATCACTGGGCTCAGATTTTGTCAGCCCAGTCCATCCATTATAACACTTTCCATGTGTTTTTCTCCTCAGGATTTTTTCCACTTTCTGAAGATTGTTGTCTAGGGCTGTATTTCATTAGAAGTTGCAAAATGGTGATGTTGTAATTTTACAGTTTCTTCTGCATTTATTAGCTGGGTGTTTCCTATAACATAACTTGCCCGTATGCCATCAACTATTAGGATTCACTGAGGTATGGAACACACAAGAAGTGAAGGATGAATGTTTAATTCTTTTGCAGTATTTTCACTTTTCAGAACAAATAGTTGTTTCCATAGGAGCTTCCAAAGATGAGTAGTGAGTTGGTATTGCTCGTGTTTTGTTTTTCTTTTAAAGTGTCCTTGTGACTCAGAGATGTTCCTGTATTTAATATGTTTTAAACCATTGCAGTCACTAATCTCTTTGATGTTCAAATTGTTTCATTTTTGTCCAGTGAGAACCTCCTCAGCTTGGTTTCTGAATCTTTTTGACATGCTTTCTGGTATGATAATTTGGTCCAGGCTTATCTGGTACAATCCTGACCCCAGATCTGGAATCAACTGTCTCTCTAAGACAGCCTGGTTTCTTTTCATGGTAAGTATTTTTAGAGCACTCAGTCTGTATACTAATCAACTGGTCGTAGTTTGTTGCTTTTTTAGTGTACATAGCCAGTAATTATGCATTACATTTTGAAGATGATACACATCTTGGCTTCCATCCTGAATTGCTCCTCTATGCCCTTATAGATAATCATTTTTATCAGTTTTTGTTTTAATCTTCCAATTTTTAAAAATATAAGCAAATGTGATGTGTGTCATGTGCATCGGTGTGAAGAGACCACCAAACAGGCTTTGTGTGAGCAATAAAGCTTTTTAATCACCTGAGTGCAGGCGGGCTGAGTCTGAAAAGAGAGTCAGTGAAGGGAGATAAGGGTGGGGCCGTTTTATAGGATTTGGGTAGGTAAAGGAAAATTACAGTCAAAGGGGGGTTGTTCTCTGGCAGGCAGGAGTGGGGGTCATGAGGTGCTCAGTGGGGTAGCTTTTTGAGCCAGGATGAACCAGGAAAAGGACTTTCACAAGGTAATGTCATCACTTAAGGCAAGGACTGGCCATTTTCACTTCTTTTGTGGTGGAATGTCATCAGTTAAGGGGGGGCAGGGCATTTTCACTCTTTTGTGATTCTTCAGTTACTTCAGGCCATCTGGGTGTATATACATGCAAGTCACAGGGGATGCGATGGCTTGGCTTGGGCTCAGAGGCTGGACATTGTGGGTATTTATTTCCTCCCCAACACAAGTAGAAGGTGGCATATTCTACACTACTACTATCCAATGGAAATTTCTGCATTGATGAAAATTGTCTGTATCTGCACTGTCCAACACAGTAGCCACTAGTTTACCTGAGGCTGTTGAGCACCTGAAACATGGTGAGTGTGAGTGAGGTATTGAGTTTATAATTTTATTTGAATTTATTTATTAAAATTAAATGGCTACATGTAGCTAGTGACCACCATATTGAACAACAACAGCTCTCTTCATTTTTTTGCACTGCATTTTTCGTTTATAATATGTCCTGGAGGTCAATCCATAGCAGTGTAGAGAGGGGATCTTCGTTGCCTTTTATACATGCATGGTACTCTAGGAAGTATCTTAGATTACTTAATCAGCCTTCTATTGGTGGACATCTGTCTTATATCTAATCTGCTGTTATGAATTGTTCTGCCAGGAATGGCCTTGTGTTTATGCCTGTTTGTCTATTTGCATTATATCTTTGGAATAGATTCTTAGGAAAGAGATTGCTGGTTCCAAGAATTAATGCCTATGTCATTCTAGTGAAATTACTTCTAGCAATGCATGACAATGCCTGTTTCCTCACAGTCTCTCTAAGAGGAACTCTGCAGGGAAGTAAACATCATGTGAGAAATCTGTGAAAATCATCTTACTAAATCAGGAGAGTCTGATGTTCAGACTGGGGTCCTAGTCCTGTGCTTGTCTTTGAGAACTTGGTCTTTACTCCTATCTCCTGTGGCTCTGGGTCCAGTCCCTCAGTGAAGGAGAGGAGTTCTTACATGAAGCAGAAACTCCATGTTACCTCAGATGGACACCTCAAATGACTAAATGGAAAAAAGTCACTCCCTTAGGGATCAGGCAGACTCAAAACAAGTTCAGAAACATACCACTCCGACACAGTAAAGAGAAACGGAGAAAGTAAAACTTCTACTTTCTACTTGTGAGAAGAACTAAGACTGCAAGCACACAAGTGTTGCCTTGCCCTTTCCTCTGTATGAGTGAGGTAGGTCAGGAGCAAGTAGTAGTAGCCCTTTAGCCCTAGGCAAGCAGGCGGAAGCACGGGTTACAAGGTGCCTCAGTTTCCCAAGGTAGCAGTCTCTTTCCACTCAACCATATCATTTTCTATTTAGATGCTGGGTGTATTAGGCCATACTTGTGTTGCTATAAAGACATACCCGAGGCTGGGTAACTTATTTTTATTTTATTTTATTTATTTATTTATTTATTTTGAGATGGAGTCTCGCTCTGTCACCCAGGCTGGAGTGCAGTGGCGTGATCTCAGCTCACTGCAAGCTCCGCCTCCGGGGTTCACGCCATTCTCCTGCCACAACCTCCAGAGTAGCTGGGACTACAGGCGCCTGCCACCACGTCCAGCTAATTTTTTGTATTTTTAGTGGAGACGGGCTTTCACCGTGTTAGCCAGGATGGTCTCCATCTCCTGACCTTGTGATCCACCCGCCTCAGCTTCCCAAAGTGCTGGGATTACAGGTGTGAGCCACCACGCCTGGCCAAGGCTGGGTAATTTATAAAGAAAAGGTGCTCACAGTTCTGCAGGCTGTACAAGCATGGCACCAACATCTGCTTGGCTTCTGGTGAGGGCCTCAGGAAGCTTACAGTCATGGTGAAAGGCAGAGCAGGAGGAGGCATGTCACACAGCAGTAGTGGGAGCAAGAAAGAGATGAGGGAGGTGCCACACACTTTTAAACAAACAAATCTCATGAACTCACTCACTATTGCAAGGACAACACCAAGACATTCATGAGGGATTTGCCCTCATGAGTGAAGTAGGTCAGGAGCAGGTAGTAGCCCTTTAGCAGTATGCAAGCAGGCAGAGCCATGGGTTACAAAGTGCCTCAGTTTCCCAAGGTAGCAGTCTCTTTCCACTCAACCATATCACTTTCTGTTTAGATGCTTGGTGTATTAGGCAGCTCCACCCCTGTAGCTTTGCAGGTTGTAGCCCTGTGGCTGATCTCATGGATTGGACTTGACTGCCTGTGACTTCTCCAGGCTCAGGTTGTGAGCTGTCCATGGCTCTACCGTTCTGGGGTCTGCAGGAGAGTGGCCCCCTTTTCACAGCTCCACTAGGCAGTGCCTCACTGGGGACTCTGTGTTGGGCCTCCAACTCCATATTTCTCCTCCAAACCAGGCTTCTGCCTAGGCACTCAGGCTTTCTGATACATTTTCTGAAATCTAGGGGGAAGCTTCCAAGCCTCCTTAACTCTTGTATTCCATGTGCCCACAGACTTAACACCATGTGGAAGCTGCCAAGGCTTATAGTGACTTGCACTCTCCAAAATGGCTTGTTACTTGTTATTGGTCATTTCAGGTTTTGGATTTCTTCATGGTTCAATCTTGGTAGGTTGTATGTGTCTAGGTATTTATCTATTCCTCTAGGTTTTCCAATTTATTAGCATATAGTTGCTCATAGTAGCCTCTGATGATCCTTTGAATTTTTGCACTATCATTTGTAAGGTCTCATTTTTTGTTTCTGATTTTATTTATTTGGATCTTCTCTCTTTTTTCTTAATCTGGCTCAAGGTTTGTCAATTTTGTTTATCTTTTTAAAAAAACAACCTTTTGTTCATTGACATTTTGTATTGTTTTCTTCATTTCAATTTCATTTGTTTCTGATGTGATCTTTATTCTTTCTTTCTTTTCTTTTCTTTTCTTTCATTTTTCTTGAGACAGGGTGTCTCTCTGTCACCCAGGCTGGAGTGCAGTGTCACGATCTCAGCTCACTCCAACCTCCATCTCCTAGACTCAAGTGATCCTCCTGCCTCAGTTTCCTGACTAGCTGGGACTACAGGCATGTGCCGCCATGCCCAGCTAATTTTGTATTTTTTTGTAGGGACAGGGTTTCGCCATGTTGCCCAGGTTGGTCTCAAACTCCTGAGCTCAGGTGATCTGCCCACCTCAGCCTCCCACAGTTCTGAGATTACAGGTGTGAGCCACCATACCTGGCCTGTTATTTGTTTTTTCTACTAATTTTAGGTTTGGTTTGCCCTTGACTTTCTTGTTCTTTAAGATGTATCATTAGGTTGTTTATTTGATGTGTTTCTTCTTTTTTGATGTAGGCACGTATTAACTGTAAGCTTTCCTCTTAGTACTGCTTTTGCTGTATTCCACATATTTTGACATTCTGTGTTTCCGTTATCATCTGTTTCAAGAAATTTTTCAATTTCCTTCTTAATTTCTTTTTTGACACACTGTTCATTTGGGAACATATTGTTTAATTTCTATGTATTTGTAGTTTCCAAATTTCCTCTTGCCATTGATTTCTAGTTTTATTCCATTGTGATCAGAGAATATACTTGATATCATTTAAATTTTTTTGAATGTTTTAAGACTTGTTTTGTGGCCTAATGTATTGTCTTTGCTTGAGAATGATTCATGTGCTAAGGAGAAGATTGTACATTCTAAAGTCATTGGATGAAGTGTTCTGTAAATATCAATTAGGTCAATTTAGTCTGTACTGCAGATTAAGTCCAGTGTTTCTTTGTTGATTTTCTGTCTGGGTGATCTGTTCAATGCTGAAAGAGGAGAGTTGAAGTCTCCAGCTATTATTATATTGGGGTCTATCTCTTCCTTTAGCTCTAGTAATATTTGCTTTATATATCTAGGTACTTCAGTGTTGGGTGCATATATATTTATGGTTGTTATACCCTCTTGCTGAATTGAATTATATGTAATTATATAATGACCATCTTTGTCTCTTTTTGTAATTTTCATCTTGAAATCTATTTTGTTGGATGTAAGTATTGCTATTCTTGCTCTTTTTTGGTTTCCATTGGCATAGAATATCTTTTTCCACCCCTTTATTTTCAGCCTGTGTGTGCCTTTATAGGTGAAGTGTATTTCTTACAGACAACAATCCTTGGGTCTTGTTTTTAAATCTATTCAGCCATTCTACGTCTGTGACTGAAGAGTTTAGTCCATTTACATTCAATGTTATTATTGGTAAGTAAGGACTTACTTCTGCCATTTTGTTATTTGTTGTCTGGTTATTTTGTAGTCTTTTCTTCATTCTTTCCTTCCTTCCTGTCTTCCTTCTAGTGAAGATGAGTTTCTTTGGTGTTATGTTTTAATTTCTTGCCTTTTATTTTTTGTGTATCCATTGTATGACTTTTGGTTTAAGGTTACCATGCGGCTTTCAAATAAAATCTTGAAACCTATTATTTTATTCTTATGTTTGCAGTATGCGCTTGTTTGTGCCCATCTTTCTTGGGAAGGCTTTCCAGGTATTTGAAGAGCCTTGAATGTTGTGATCTAAGTTTTTGGTCACTGAAGCCATGTCTGCATTGGGAGTCACCCCAAGCCAAGTAATACTGTGGTTCTTGCAGACTCTTAGAGGTACTGCTTTGGTGTTCTTGAATAAGATCCAGAAGAATTCTTTAGATTACCAGGCAGAGACTCTTGTTTCCTTCTCTTACTTTCTCCTATACAAATAGAGTCTCTCTGTGCTGAGTCCATAGAGCTGGTGGAGAAGTAACACAAGCATTCTGGTGGCCTCCACCACTGGGACTGTGCTGGGTCAGATCTGAAGCCAGCACAGCACTGGGTCTCACCCAAACCATTACCTGGCTACTGCCTATGTTTGCTCAATTTCCTAAGGCACTACAATCAGCAGACAGTGAAGCCAGCTAGCATATGTCCTTCCCTTCATAGCAGGGAGTTCCCCTGATCCTGAGCAGGTCCAGAAATGCCATCCAGGAGCCAGAGCTTGGAGTCAGAAACCTTAGAAATCTATGTGGTGCTCCATTCTATTGTGGCTGAACTGGCACCCAAGCAACAAGACAAAATTCATCCCACTCTTCACTTCCCTTTCCACAGGCAGAGGACTCTCTCCCCATGGCCACCACCACCACAGACTCACAGGTGATATTGCCAGGCTACCGCCATTTTTCAGTTAAGGCCCAAGGGCTTGTCTGTCAGCTTGTGCTGCATGCTGCCAGACTTGGGACTTAGCCTTCAGGTCAGTGAGCTCCCCTTTGGTTCAGGGCAGGTCCAGAAATGCCATCCAAGCCAAGGCCAGGAATCTGGGACCTCAAGAGTCTACCTGGTGCTCAGCCCTGCTGTGGCAGAGCTGGTACCTAAGCTGCAAGGCAAAGTCCCCTTAACTTTTCCCTCTGCTTTTCTCAAACAGGAGTCTCTCCTCATAGCCACTACAGCAGGGAAGTGCTGGGTCACACCTGATGTCAGCACATCTCAAGAGTCTCACCCAAGGCCCCCAGTGTGTACTAGGCTACTGTTGCTGATTATTCAGGGCCCAAGGACTCTTTAGTCAGCAGGTGATGAATCCTTCCTGGACTGAGTCCATCCATTCAAGGCACAAAGTTCCCTTCTGGCCCAGGGTGTATCTAGAAATGTTCAGGAGCTAGGGCCTGGAATGGATGCCACAGTACTCTGCCCAGAGTCCTTTCCTGCAGCTGAGCTGGTATCTAAGTTTCAAGACAAAGTCCCCTGTACTCTTTTCTCTCCTTTCCTCAAGCAGAAAGGATTCTGTTTCAGAGCTGAGCGCTACACTGACTGGGGTTGGAGGAGGGGTGGCACAAGCACTCCCTTGGCTGCCCTGGCTGGTGTCCCACTGGGTCACATGTCCCCCAAGTCCTCCAGGTCTAGATTGCCTTTTAAGTTTCTTTAGGACCCCCAAGCACTTTAGCCCACAGTGGCAAGGCTTGCCAAAATTCATGTTCTGACTGATGGGATGGGTAATTCCCTTCTAGCTAGGGCTGGTCTAAATGCTCCCTCCATGAGCGTTGGTTGAGTTCTACCCAATGCTGCTTCCTGCTCTGACAGTGTAGCACTGGGTTCCAATGCAAAGTCCCACAATCACTGTGCTGTCCCTCCCCCAAGCACACGGATTCTTGAGGCTTCACAGCTGCTGCCAGGGGGTGGGGAGGGGTGGCACCAGCATTTCAAGACCGTCTTTCTTTTCCTCTTCAATACCTCTTTCAGTGATATGATGTTAAAACCAGGTAATGTGATCACTCGCCTGATTTTTGGTTCTTATGAAGGTGCTTTCTTATGTAGATAGTTGTCAAATTTGTTGTTCCTGCAGGGAGGTCAATTGGTGGAGGCTTCCATTTAGCCACCTTGCTCTGCCTCCTACCCAGTATCACATTTTAAACACCTTCATCAGATTATAGCTTACAAATCATAACATCACACATTTTAAGGATATTTAGATTATTTTTATCAAATGTACGGAGTTGTACAACCATCACCATAATTGGGGTTTTATATGTTTTCATCATCCCCAAGAATCCCATTATGCTTGAATGTAGTTAAAATTCCTGCACACACACACCCAGCCCTATGCAATCACAGATATATTTTCTGTCTATGCATATGCCAGTTCTGGAGATTTTATATAAATGGAATCAATTAATATTTGGTATTTTGTGTCTGGCATCTTATACTTATTATAATGTGTTCAAGGTTCCTCCATAATGTAGCATGGGTCAGAATTCCATTCCAACTAATAGCTTAAAAATATTCTATTGCATAGATACACCACATTTTGTTTATTTATTTATTTATTTATTTTATTTTTGAGATGGAGTATTGCTCCATCGCCTAGGCTGGAGTGCAGTGGTATGATCTCGGCTCACTGCAACCTCTGCCTCCCAGGTACAAGTGATTCTCCTGCCTCATTCTCCCGAGTAGCTGGGACCACAGGTGTGTGCTATCACATCTGGCTAATTATTTTGTGTGTTTTTAGTAGAGACAGGGTTTCACCATGTTGGCCAGGCTGGTCTCAAACTCCTGACCTTGTGATCCACCCGCCTTGGCCTCCCAAAGTGTTGGGATTACAGGCGTGAGCTACCGCACCTGGCCCATTTTGTTTATTTATTCACCTATTGATGAACACTCTGGTTATTTCCACCTTTTGGCTATTATGAATAATAATTCTACATACATTTGTGTATACATTTTTATGTAGAGATTCATCTTGGGTAGGAAAGGAATTACTGGGCCATATGGTAACTCCCTGTTTTCCCATTTGAATAACTGCTAAACTGTTTTCATGACTCTGACAGTGATGAGGGATATAGACTTGGTGTTTTATTTATTTATTTTTTTTCTGATTATACTGAGGTAATGCGTTCTGAGAAAAAATACCAGAATTGAAGTGCTCTTCTTGTCACTTAATATCTGGTAGTACATGATACCCATCTCACCTCACTGGTGATATTAACCTTAATCACTTAAGGCAGTATTTGCCAAGTTTCTCCAGTGTACAGCAACTGTTTTCCATTTGCCTACTTTTATTCTATAGAAGTGAGTTAATAAGTCTGTCCTGCTATCAGGTGATGGGAGGTGGAATATCTACATAGAGGGAGGGTATCTACATGTACTCTTTGGAATTATTTGATAAAGACAATTTGTCTCCTCAAACCTATTTCTTTATTTACATGTTTACTTCTATAAGTATACATATATGTATATTTATTATATAGATTGGGTTATTTACTGAATGGGTTCATTCCAAAAAAATCCAGCATTATGATTTCTGTCATGCAGTATAAGTATTTTGACTTAAGAGTCAGGAACCCACAAAAAAGTACCCTATCACTATCATAATATTTCAACACTATCATATCATCTAATTGTAGTATGTTAGACAGGGTTTGTAGATAATACATTTAACCAGACAAATATGACACATTATAATTTCAGATTATTGAATTACATACTTGGAAATCCCTTCAGAAAGAAATAAAAACAGATAAGATAGAGGTTACTGAAGTGATCACGAAAAATTATTGTTACCATTCAGTAAACCTATTTGCAAAATCCCTTTCAGTGAAGCCAAAGTATGGGATGTAGGGGAAAATATTTGTTTTGTTTGAAAGCACAATGTTCTATAGCACAGCCTTCATGTTATCAGAGTCTCCAGAATGGATCAAGCAATTAAAGTGTGGAAAGGGTGGTGCAGTAAATTCAGATGTCAGATCTAACAAAAGATGGTTCATTCCTATTAATATTTCAACCTGATAAAGTCTCTTACAATTGATGATTGTAACACATAATTTAATGCCCTAGACCTCTCTCTACATCTCTAGTTACTGTCCTCTTTATATATATTCTCTTCCTTGTAACCAAAGTTCTACAAGAATTATCAATTCTCAACTCATATCCCTCTACATCTGCCCCCAACTCAGTTGTCACTCCACTTTAGTGGTACTTTGTTCCCCCACCCTCTACTGAAATGAATCTTATCAAAGTCAACAACCACATCTTTGATGCTTTATAGATCAAGGGTAATTAAATGAACGTTCAAATGGAGACAACATATTTGTTTTCCAAGGCAGAATTCATCTGCTTGTGTACAGACAAGGATTATATTGCAATGCTGTCATTATCTAAAAGTTAAAGTTGTAAGATAGCTTTCATTCTGGAGAAGTCTAAAACTTACCAAAGGGATGGTGTACAGTTTGTCCTTAATGCCTTTTACCTGTATGAATGTATATATGTATGTATGTATGTATGGATGGATGGATGGATGGATTGATGGAAGCATGATGTATGAAATATGTGCTGGTAATTCGTGGATTTTCATCTTGGATCAGTAGGAAAGCAAGATTTACTTGGTTGTGGTGTGATGTGCAGCTGAGAGTCACACAGTCTGCACAAGGACATATAGGATACCAGTCTCTACTTTTCCACTTAGTAGCAGCATGACCCTCAGCCAGGTTACTTAACATCCCCATACATTGTTTCTTCAGCTACAAAACAGTGTAGCAATCGTATTCCCTACCCCCCAGAAAATACATGAGAACAAAAAGTACCAGCATTCAAGAAAGGTGAGTCCCATGGCTCTCTGATCTGAGGTCAGGAATTCTGCCTTTCTGTGGGACTTCTAACTATTCATGTGGCTTGCAACTTGCCCCTTTTCATCA